CAACCTCGTTCCCAGGGCTACTCTGCGCCCAGAGATAGCCCTGGCATCGGCCGGTCAAATATGGATTTTGATTGGCTAAGATTTTTCTCACTTTTCATTGGTTGCTCATTTGTTGTGACCTTTTGACACAGAAAAATAGAAGAAACAATTCAAGTGTAAAGTTGATGGAAATTTTTAAACTAAAATGCCTGAGTTCAGCGTCTACAAGATGCTAAAACTACAAAAAGAAAAAACATGAAGTAGTCTATCGCCATGCACTAGGTCTAATTACAGTAAGTAGAAGTGAAGATGTGAATATTCGTGAGACGTTTGATCATGTTGAAGACAAAAAGAAAGCGAAAAAGACTTTGCATAGCATTACAAAATATTTTTTGCAATATTTCAAACGAACCACCATTTAGAAATTATTGTAAATGATATATATATAAAGTGTAATAAAATTACATGTCATTCTTGGCGTACTTTTATCGCCTTTTACATCTGATCGCCGTTCGTTCTCGGCGATAGTGGGCACGAAATGTTATGTTCGGATTTTTTTATTTATCATTAAGCTTATATTACTCATCAAAGATAAATATCTTAGATCAAGGCGGGAAAATAAGTTGTGAAAAAAGGATTTTGGCATGCTTTTTAAATTTGCGCGATAGAGTTCAAAGTACAATTGACTCAGCAAGATGCCTAGCCGGTATTTTTGCAAAATGTTTTTCGAACTTTAAAAATAAAACTTTCAAAAATCTTATGGTTTAGTTAAGGAATGGACAATATCTAGCGTGCGTCCATCCAATGAGGGATGCACGCGGATAGTTGGGAGAGCACGAAGCTAGCGTAAGAGATGCTCGAGACGCATCAAAAATTCTGAATCATTACATCTTGTATTTTGAGTCTCGCAATTTTGTAAAAGTCTTCCTAGGGCACCAAAAAAACTCTCCACGCTACACGGCAACCAGTTCGCCATCTTTGTTCATGATCGGCCGAGAGAGTCTTGGGAATGAGTCTGTTAAAGCTTCCGGTTTTCAATCGGATTTCCGCTTCCTCTCGATCAATTTTTTTTTTTTCGACACGTATTTTTTTTATTGGATACAATTCTTTTCCTGTCATACTTTTTTATTGATTCGATCCATATTTTGCACAAATTCGATGATGTTTTTTTATATTTTTAACGTAATGCTCAATATATATGTTTTTTTTTCGACAAGATAATAATTATTGTACAATACACTCAGCAGAATTTTCGATACAATTTTTTTTTTCGACATGGTTTTTGTAAACTCAAAGCGTATTTTTTGTTTTTCAATCGAAACAAATATTTTCATGTTTTTGTCCGGAACGGAACGCCATACTGTCTTCATTAATTGTTGATATAATATTAATAAGTCTTTTTTTTTTCAAAACTACTTGGAGAAAGTGGATTATGAATAATCTTCTGTACATTTTTTTTGATAGTAAAGAAAAGAGTGAATGAGATATGGCAAAGCCAGCAACAATCACAAAAAGCACAAAAGAAGTTACTAGAAGGTCAATCTAGTTTGAAGCGAGAAGTTGATGTCTTAAATCAAGGTCATGCAGGACTACAACAAGGAGTTGAAACATTACATCAAGGTCAGGCAGGACTACAACAAGGAGTTGAAACATTAAATCAAGGTCAGGCAGGACTACAACAAGGAGTTGAAACATTAAATCAAGGTCAGGCAGGACTACAACAAGGAGTTGAAACATTAAATCAAGGTCAGGCAGGACTACAACAAGGAGTTGAAACATTAAATCAAGGTCAGGCAGGACTACAACAAGGAGTTGAAACATTAAATCAAGGTCAGGCAGGACTACAACAAGGAGTTGAAACATTAAATCAAGGTCAGGCAGGACTACAACAAGGAGTTGAAACATTAAATCAAGGTCAGGCAGGACTACAACAAGGAGTTGAAACATTAAATCAAGGTCAGGCAGGACTACAACAAGGAGTTGAAACATTAAATCAAGGTCAGGCAGGACTACAACAAGGAGTTGAAACATTAAATCAAGGTCAGGCAGGACTACAACAAGGAGTTGAAACATTAAATCAAGGTCAGGCAGGACTACAACAAGGAGTTGAAACATTAAATCAAGGTCAGGCAGGACTACAACAAGGAGTTGAAACATTAAATCAAGGTCAGGCAGGACTACAACAAGGAGTTGAAACATTAAATCAAGGTCAGGCAGGACTACAACAAGGAGTTGAAACATTAAATCAAGGTCAGGCAGGACTACAACAAGGAGTTGAAACATTAAATCAAGGTCAGGCAGGACTACAACAAGGAGTTGAAACATTAAATCAAGGTCAGGCAGGACTACAACAAGGAGTTGAAACATTAAATCAAGGTCAGGCAGGACTACAACAAGGAGTTGAAACATTAAATCAAGGTCAGGCAGGACTACAACAAGGAGTTGAAACATTAAATCAAGGTCAGGCAGGACTACAACAAGGAGTTGAAACATTAAATCAAGGTCAGGCAGGACTACAACAAGGAGTTG